TGACTAATATTTAAGTTTTTAATCCACCTTGAATTTATTTTTCTGTATGGTACAAGTTGGTGTTCAAGTTTCATTTTTTTGCATGTAGCTGTCCAGATCTCCCAATACCATTTGTTGAAGATGCTATTTTAACTCCACTTTATGTTTCTGTCCCCTTTGTCGAATATTAATTGACCATAGAGGTATTGGTTTATTTCTGGGCTCTCTCTTCTGTTCCATTGGTCTATGTGTCTTTTCTTCTGCCAGTAAGAGGCTGTTTTGATTACAGTGGCCTTGTAATACAGTTTGATATCAGGTATTATGATCCCTTCTACTTTGTTCTTCTTTCTTAAAATTGCTGCAGCTATTCAGGGCATTTATGGTTCCATATAAGTTTTTGAAATGTTCTATATCTGTGAAATATGTCATTGGTACTTTAATAGGGATTGCATTGAATCTATGTATTGTTCTGGGTAGTATGGACATTTTGATGATGTTAATTCTTCCAATCCATGAACATGGTACATGCTTCCATTTGTTTGTGTCTTCCTTATTTTATTTCTTGAGTGTTGTGTTGTTTTATGAGTACAGGTCTTTTACATCCTTGGTTAGGTTTATTCCTAGGTACTTTATTTTTTTGTTGTTGCTATAACAAAAGGGATCTTTCCCCTGATTTGTGTTTCTGATATTTCACTATTTGTGTACAAACATGCCTTTGCTTTTTGCATGTTGACTTTCTATCCCACTCTTTTGCCAAATTCACTAATTAGGTCAAGTAGTTTTTTGGTGGAGTCTATGGGATTTTCTCTGTACACTGCCATGTCATCTGCAAACAGTGACACTTTTGCTTCCTCCTTTCCAATTTGGATGCCTCTTATTTATTTTCCTTGCCTCATTGCTGTGGCTAGGACTTCCAATACTATGTTGAATAGGAGTTGTGAAATTGGGCATTCTTGTCTTGTTCCTGATCTTAGTGGAAAAGCTTTTTAGTTTTTGCCCATTGCGTATGATGTTGGCTGTAGGTCTCTTTTATATGGCCTTTACTATGTTGAGGAATGCTCCCCCTACTCCCAGTTTGCTGAGTGTTTTTATCATAAATGGGTGCTGTACCTTGTCAAATGCTTTTTGTGCATCTATTGATATGATCATGTGATTTTTGTCTTTCCTTTTGTTTATGTGATGTATTATGTTTATTGATTTGCAAATACTGAACCATCCCTGCATCCGTGGGATGAATTCCACTTGATCATGGTGTATGATCTTTTTCTTGTATTGCTGGATGTGGTTCCCAATATTTTGTTGAGGACTTTTGTGTCTCTTTTCATCAGCGATATTGGCCTCACTTAGTATGATGCTGGCTTCATAAAAAGTTTGGGAGTCTTCCATCTTCTTGGATTTTTTGGAATAGTCTGTGAAGGATAGGGGTTAACTTTTCCTTACATGCTTTGTAGAATTCTTCTGTGAAACCATCAGGTCCAAGGCTTTTGTGTTGGGAGTATTTTGATTACTGCTTCAATTTCGTCAGCTGTTATTGGTGTGTTCAGGCTTTCTGCTTCTTCATTCAGTTTTAGAAGATTATATTTTTCTAGAAATTTGTCCATTTCACCTAGGTTTTCAAATTTCTTGGCATATAGTTGTTCATAGTAATTTCTTATAATTCCTTGTATTTCTGTGATATCAATTGTAATCTCTCCTCTTTCATTCCTGATTCTGTTGATTTGGGTCCTCTCTCTTTTTTCTTGTTGCTTAAAGGTTTCAAGCCTGCTTAAAGGCTTGTCAATTTTCTTTATCTTTTCAAAGAACCAGCTCCTGGATTTATTGATCCTTAGAATTGTGCCGTTAGCCTCTATGTCATTTAATTCTGCTCTGATTGTGGTTATTTCCTTCCTTCTACCTGCTCTGGGCTGTCTTTATTGTTGTTCCTCGAGTTCTTGTAGGTGTAGGGTTAGGTTTTTTATTTGAAATATTTCTTTCTTTTTTAGGTAGGCCTGTATCACTATGACCTTCCCTCTCAGGACTGCTTTCACTGTGTCCCATAAGTTTTGGGTTGTTGTGACTTCATTTTCATTTGTTTCCAGAAAGTTTTTGATTTCTTCCTTAATCTCCTTCTTGACCCATTCATTGTTTAAGAGCATGCTATTCAATTTCCATGAGTTTGGGTGTTTTTGAGTTTTTTCTTTGAGGTTGGTGTCCAGTTTCAGTCCCTTGTGGTCAGAGAAAATGCTTGATATTATTTCCATTTTTTCTTGAATGTATTGAGGCTTGTTTTTGTGTCCTATGATGTTTTCTGTGGGGGTAGGGGGACCCCACCCAGCCACTGTGGATGAGAATAAGTCTTTGAAGACATGATCTGCTTGAGGAGGAAAGGTGGCCAGTCTCTCAGAGGAGAAGGGCCAAGAGCTTTTTCCTCAATGGGCTTTTATTGGGTTCATTTGCACAGGAACACAGGTAAAGCTCATTAATCATTGTCAGGCAGTAAGGATCAAACAATATATAACAAAGAACTCTTAGGGCATATTCTGAGTCAGGGTCTATTAGCTAAAGGGCTACAAAACTTTGAGAAACACACTTATTTCCCACTTGGACCCTTATCATTTAATTAAGAAAATTCTTAGCAAAGCAGGTTTCCCAGGATTTTATATATCCTTTCTCAGGCCTGATCACCCAGGGAACCCACCCTTTCCAGCACAGGGCTGCACTGCCCTCTGTCATTGTTTCAGTATTAAGTCAGGCAGAGGAAGCAAGGCAGCCAAGAGATTAGGAGACTTCTCGCAATCAGCATGAGGACTCAGGCTTTGTCAAAGCCGAGGGGGGAGGGTCCATCACTCCCTTCCTCCATAGCCCCCCAAGTTCTTCCCTGGGGCCTCCCATGTGACCGTGCCTGTCTTAGGTCATTCCCCCCTTGGGGAATCTTACCCGTCATTGGCTAACCAACCAACCACTGAGGGCCAGCTATGGATGAAGTAAAAGGAAAGAAGCTGAGCTCCTGCCAGGGATTAAGCTTTGTTTTCTTAGTGGCTTCTGATCTGAAGGTCACTCACTCAGCCTTAGCCTTGAGGGGGTTACAGCTTCTGAAACCAGCCATAGTGGTTCCCAACAGTTTTCTATCTTTGAAAATGTCCCACGTGCATTTGAAAAGAATGTGTATTTTGCTTCTTTGGGATGAAAAGCTCTATACATATCAGTTAAGGCCATTTGATCTAAGGCATTGTTCAATGCTGTAATATCTTTGTTGATATTTTGTTTGGAAGATCTATCCATTTTTTACAATGGGGTGTTAAGATCCTTTACTATAATTGTGTTGCTGTCAGTATCCTTCTTGAAGTCCTCCAAGATTTTCCTTATGTATTTGGGTGTCCCTATGTTGAGAATTTTTCTTCTGTTTATTGGTGTTCAAGTGCAGTTGTCTCCATTTTCCTCCCACAATACCATTGAACTGGTTATAAAAATGTCTCATTCCTGGAGTTAATTCTACTCGGCAGTGATATGTATTCTTTCTTTACTTTTATATTCTTGATTTGTTGATATATATTTAAGAATTTGTTGCCCCTATGTTCATCGATATATTAAATTATGGTTTCTTTTTCTTGAAACATCTGCCAGGTGTTATCAAGGTTACTGTGGCCTCAGAAACCCAATACTGAAGTGTTCTTTGCTCCTCTGTTTCCAGAAAGTACATGTATAATGTTATTATACATAGTGTTATTATATTATTTTTTCCTTTGAATGACTGATAGAATTCACCTGTGAAATCATCTGATATATAGTTTAGTTTCTTTTTTCTTTTAAAGACTTTTTGCTGATTAACTAAATTTCCTTAACAGAGAGTGGATTGTTTAAAATTCCTATATACTTCTCTTACTACTTTGGCAAGCTAGGAAACAGAACCTACAGGAAAGCTTTAAACTTTTAACAATACATAAATCACTAGTTAACATATCTAATCTGTATCTCAGCCAAGACACTTTATCAAGTTCATTGATGTTTAACTAAAGGCAATTCTTCCCTATGTGATATGGTCCGTGTGGCCAGCAGTGTCTGTGGTGTTGTAGATGTGATGAACAAAATCACAGGGACTGCAGAAGTCCTGTGGAGAAAAGGGACAGCATGGCTACTCTCTGAGTGAGAGAGTGCCCTGACCCCTGCCTGGACAGCCTTTTACTGCTTTCTGGGAGCAATACATCAAGGAAGGTTCTCATTCATTATGCTCAAGTTTGCTTGAAGTGATTACTTCTTACAGATAACAAAGAAAAGAATGTTGCAAATGCAAGGGAACAATAAAAGTGATTGACCTGGCTACACTCCATGCTTGGAATGGCTTAGTACACACTTTAGTGAGTTACTTCAAAGATGTACATTAAACCTCTGATGTCTTAACTCAGGGTGAGGGAATCTTAGCAAAAGCAAGCCTCAAAGCAGCCTAGAAATAATGCAGGCCTGGTCCCCCATGGGAAAGCTGATCTGTGAGACTGGCTCCTGTGTGCCACCTCTCACCTGTCAGTTTTCCAAACCAGGGCTGAACTACATTCGCCATTGCCACGTGGACCAGTTCCCTATAGCTATGGCTGTTCAGTGTCTATTAGCACAACATTTTCTGAAGGTTTTCTTTGGCTTCCAAACCATTTGAACATGGATATTCATAAAAAAGTTCTGATATCAATCTTTATTTTATGGACTGTTATTGAATGAATAATTCAGGTAGGATGTTCTACACATTAAATCATTAAAATAGGTTTTCCCTAATAGAAATCATTAAAATAGGTTTTCCCTAAATTATCCAAGCTTGATTGCAGAAAGAATAAGAGAAAGACTCTAGAAAGAAGACCATGAGAATAGAAACCCAATGTGGTATGTTACAGTGGTAAGCCAGAAGAACAGTGTAACAAATTTAAACGTAGAACATGGCATTATAATATGATCTTTTCAGATGCATTATTACTGAGAATTTTATTTACTGAATTATCCTTCTAATATTTGTAACTTGTGGTTTTCCTTAAGAAGTCTCATTTTAATATTTTTAGAAATACCAAGATGTGCACCCCCACCTCAGATTCCCAAATCTCAAAATATGATGACCACAGTGAATTATCAGGAAGGAGAAGCAATCTCTATTCTCTGTCAAGACAATTCTCTGATTCTGGAAGCAGGAGATCTCGTGTGCCAGGGTGGAATCTGGAAGTCAGTCCCACGCTGCATAGGTCAGTAGTGCATCACTTGTGTCACACCTGTCTGTCAAACGAGGGTTAGACTCCCCTGTGCTTTGTGGAAAGGGACATATGATAACTGGGCATCATGAGATAATATGTCACCTGGGGAAATGGAGTCCCCCACCTCAATGTGTAGGTGAGGACAGCATGTAAACTAAAATTCTACTTTGGTACAATTCATTAAAATAAGCAATCATCATCAAAGACATGAAAGATAATTCTTTAGGTTTGTAAGTATACAAACCCATTTACATGTTTATGGACCATTATGTACTAACATATTTTACCAATTTTTCTATGAACAAATAAATCTTATTTTTCTTAATGTCATGGGTTTATTCTGAAATTGCTTTAGTTTTTTGTTCTTTCTGTTTATTTTTGTTGTTGACACTATTACCAAGGTGTCAACACCTTGTGCCCTACCTCTTTGTGCCCTTCCACCCAGCCTCCACCCCCTGCCTTATCTCTGGCCATCACCACATTGTCTTCTGTGTCCATGGGCTATGCATACCTGTCCTTTTGCAATGTCTTCTCCTTTGTTCACCCAGCCCCCCTCTCCCTCATGCCCTCTGACAGCTGTCAGTCTGTCCCATGCATCCACACCTCTGTTCTATTTTGTTCACCAGTTTCTTCTGTTCACTAATTCCACATGTAAGTGAGGTCATACCGTATGTCTTTCTCTGACTGGCTTCTTTCACTCAGCGTGGTGTTCTCCAGGTCCATCCATGCTGTTGCAAAAGGTGAGATTTCCTTCTTTTTCACAGCCACATAGCAGCCACTGTGGAAAACAGTATGGAGGTACCTCAAAAATTAAAAATAGGTATGCCTTCTCACCCAGAGACCCCACTTCTGGGAATACACCCTAAGAGATCTGAAACACCAGTTGGGAAGATTATATGCACCCCTATGTTCATAGCAGCATTGTTTCCAACAGCCAGGACCTGAAAACAGTCCGAGGGCCAATCAGTCCCTAAGTGGATAAAAAAATGTGATACATGAAATTACTTTTAATTCCTGCATTTTCCCCACTAAAACTAGATGTGTAGTGAAATTAAACCTAACTATTCATGTAGGTACAGCTATTTGTATTATTTTAAATATTTATATACATTGTATTGAAGGCTTTGCCAGTAGGTTTTTTAAAAATTTATGTTCTTCCTACAATGTCCTGTCTGATCTCTTACAATAGATGACAATTTTCTTAACATGATTCTCAATGTGTTTCTTTTTATTACTCGTGATGGGTTAGAGAAGCATTAATAGTCCCATTCCTAAATATATGGAGATTTTTCTTTTCAAGTTTTTGGTCAAGTTGATGGCTGGATGCACACTACAATGGTGGTTTTAGGAAACATTTATGCACCTTTTCTGTGATGTATTATTATTAGCACCTGTGTGATCAAATAAAAGTGCCATCTATGCCAACCAGTACATGAAATAAATTTCAGAGAGAGCAATATATGCAATCATTCATAACTTTTTTCCTTCAGGACTTCCTTGTGGACCACCACCTCTAATTTCCAATGGGGCTGCATCAAACAGGAAAAACAGATATGAGTATGGAGAAAAATTTACGTACCACTGTGCCCGAGGATTTTCACTTCATGGGCCTGCATCTGTGATATGTTCAGGAGGAAAATGGAGCCCTCCCCCAGAGTGCATAAGTATGGTGTATTTAATTTTATTCTCAGGCTGATCAATATCTGTAACTAGAGCATGAACGATGTAAATTTAAATCTGCAGTCATTTTAGAATATAATAAGGCATCTCCAAAAGGTTCTGGATTCTGGTGGACAATTAATAGCCCCAATCACAGGAACAGATTAACAACAGGAGCCTGATTGGTTTACTTTGGGGTCCCCCTGCCCCTCTGCCCCTTGCTCTATGTGCACACTCAGACATGTCACTTCTAGGGGTGCAGCTGGCCCCTGCTCATCAGTCTCATCATGACTCCGCTCATGTCACTTTACCAGTTACCTACTTAGAGACATTTGTGTCATTTTCCAATGCTTCACATAATTCTGAGAAATGGACTTGGACAGAAGGAAAGACTAGAAATATGTATATAGCATAGATAGTTTCTATGGGCAAAAAATAATCTGAATGCAAGAAGTGTGGTCCTGATCTCATCAGGCTTTCTGGCCCCTCACCCTACATTGTACTTCTGATGAATGTAGAGTCATTCAATGTGATCAAGTCAAGACCGCTAACATATTTTCAAGTTATAAGAAAAATGCTGTACAGTATACATTGGTTTGGTATGTACCTATTATTCTAGAGTAAAATTATTGGCCAATATCTATTTTTAAAGATTTACTGAACAAGTATTTTGTTTTTTTCCTTTCAGAAACAACTTGTCCTTCCCCACCCAGCTTTGATAATGCCGAACCTATAAATGTAAACAAGAACAGAAAAGTATATCAGTCAGGAGATGAAGTAGCTTACAGATGTCGACAGCACTACCAAATGGACGGATCCAATGTTGTTCGCTGTATGACTGGCAGATGGATAGGGACACCCACATGCAGAGGTGTTTGGATAAACATTGATTTTAATTTCCTGAAGTGTCTTAAATAGTACAATATAGCATTGCTATAGCATGATGAAGAGATGAACACAGGCTCTGTCTTAGGCCATATTAGGGGCGGCGGGGGTTGGTGCCTTCACACAGAGGAATGGAAGGGGTGGTGAGGGTTGACCTGAGAGCCTGTTGTTTTTACTGGGTGGTCCCTGAAACAGCAGCATCAGCACCTTCTAGGAAAAGGGAGGAAATGCAAATGCCAATTCACAGGCTCACTCAGAGCAGCATCCAAAACTCCAGGTGGTGACCTGAAACTCTTTAATGGGAATTCCCAGCAGCTTCCACTTCAGTCTACTACTACTTTACCTCCAGCTGAAGCTCCTTGCTCATCTTAGCATCTATAAGAATCTGCCCCCCTCAGATGACTAGAGTACTTTCATTAAATTGTAAATTCATTTTTCTCATATTTTCCTCAGCCTCTTTGGGATCTTTTGTGAGATAACCACCTTCCTTGAAATATGCAGCATTCCTCAAAGCATTTAATTCTTGACTCACTCCTTAAGGAAATGATTGCTGTACTTATTAGCCCAAGAGCCTAAAATCACAATGAATAGATATGTGGATTTAAACCAAAATCTGATACGAAATGATCTGTTATTCTGACTTTTAAGAGTTTATCAATTCATCTTCAATTTGTATAACTTTCTTTTTTTTTACTAAACTCAAAGGGAAATGCCAGAAAAGCCCTCATTTACATTGGCTGTAAATGTCTATTGATCTTTGAGAGGATGGGAAAGAAATTTAAGATGTAGAAGCTGAACTCTTACAGAGAAAAACAACCCTGCATTATCCCCTTTTTGAATCATACATACAAAACTTTGAATCAAAGTTTTACCATCTTCATGGCAGACTAATATGTATTTAAGTCCTCCAGAAATACAAGGGAATCCCATTGGTTGATGTGAGTTATAAACATTCATTGCATTAGATACATATTTTTTCTTTTTATTAGATAATTCCTGTGGGAGTCCTCCCATAGTCAAAAATGCCACTATACAAAACAGGATGACTCGGTATCAGTCTGGTGACAGAGTACGTTACAAATGCATGAAACCTTTGGACCTATTTGGGGATGTAGAGGTGACCTGTCTGAATGGGAAATGGACAGACCCACCTCAGTGCAAAGGTAGAGTATCTTGTTCTCCCCTCACCCCCATTGTAGAGGATATATTAGGGACAAACTGTGTTGGTATGAATACATAATGAAGTGGTTCCTATGGGGGAAATAAATTCATGCAAATAAAATGGTGGTGCTTAAACACCCATTCTACCCATAGATTGAGTAAGTACTATGGTGTATTTACTCTAGGACAGATTTGGAACATTAGAAGAAGAGATATTCTGTGTCATGGATTCCAGAATGAGGTTGAGAATGTGAACTTTTCACTGGGGCCTTTCAGCCCAGCTGACTCTCCAGCTTCCAAGCCATTGTCCATGGTAGGGGGACAAGGCTGTCCCTATGTCCTCTCTGCTTACCCATCTGTGTGGTGGCTTCTGTACACCCTAGGTTTAAGGCTCTTGTTCAGGCATCCTTCACTTGGTTATTCACATTGCTTACTCCCTTATTTAGCGGTAAATATAGTTTGGTGCCTTAAAGAGGTGAGGATAGCCCCCACCTACTACAGAACCACCTTAAATCAAAGACTGTCCTTTTGTAGAGTCCAAAGGAAAATGTGGGCGCCCTCCAACCATTGACAATGGGGACATCACCACATTCCCATCAGCCGTCTATGCTCCAGGAGACTCAGTGGAGTACAAATGCCAGGCCTACTATAAACTTCAGGGAAACAGGTTAATAACATGTCATGATGGAGAGTGGTCAGAACCACCCAAATGTTTAGGTAAGTGTATTGCTATTCCCATGGGTCCTGGGAAATCTGTGCAGAGAATGTGATGTTCTCCTCTTTATAACAGAACTTTCATGGGTTACCATTATTCTGATGAATGCTTGACTCCCTCATAGTGATGCATGAGTAAATAACATATGACAAATTCTTCAGCAGGAAGAGCAACAAAGATTCTCTTATGAAAACTCTACACATGATAACTGGTATTATGAACTTTGATTTAACCTTTAGTTATCCCACAGAGCACCTCATGTTTACATCATGAATTGTTTGAAATGGCTTACATCTACAGGATGGCTTTTCAATGAATCATATTGAAAAAGGTTCTGAGAATGAGTTCCTGGATCAGTGTGGAAGATTCTACATGACAGTGTAAACTTCTGTACTGAGAATTTGTATACCACTTAATGTTTTATGTTTCTTGTTTTTACCTTTAGAGGCATGTGTAATATCAGAAGAAATGATGGAAAAGTTTAACATACGGTTAAAATGGAGACAGAACAAAAAACTTTATTCAGAATCAGATGATAGTATTGAGTTCACCTGCCGACCTGGGTATCGTGCAAAGTCACCACCTTCCGCATTCCGGGTAACGTGTCGGGCAGGAAAACTGACGTATCCCACTTGTGAATGAAATGATGGTTATATTGCAGTCTGAAAATTGAAATACACATATTCATTTAGAATATTTTATATTAATCCAATTCTGTATTTTTTCAAGTATATTTTATCTCATTTTTCTTCATAATCAGAATTTATGTTGATATCATTATAATGTGAAAGACCAATGAATTGCTCTGAAAGGGATCTCATTAAAATGTGGCAAACCACAATGCTGTGTGTTCTGTTCATCCAACATCTGTGGCCAGAAATCAGAAGCCATCCCTTCATGGCCCACTTGCACCCAACCACTCCCCTCACTTTCCCAACACTTTGTCTGGAACTTCTGAGGCTGTTTGAGACTCTTGTTGCAGAGGAAATGGGAAAAAATGCTTGTCTCCATCTTCAAAATATAATCACTTCACAAACACGTAGAAACCAGCTTATGTCACACCTGTGTCGGAGAGAAGATATCAGCAGTTATTACCTGTCCTAGGGAAACACACACCAGAGATAGTGACAGGCATGATCTCCTGCAGTGTGACCCCCCAGTACATACAAGCTCTCAGACATGTCACACAAAGCAGGTGGGATACAATTCAGGGTATGACTGCGGGCAGTGGCACATGCCCTGATGAAAACCCAGCATCAGTTTAAACACATTCGCACAATCTCAGGACATGCTGTGAACTGTGAATATGCATTTACAGAACAGAGATGGGCAGGAAGTGCAGTGACACACTTTCCACAACTCTGTTGGATGTAGAGACAATGGGGGTAGGAGTTGGGGTTCAGTTCCCATATTCCCCCATTCTTCTGTATTGAACATGTATCATCTTTCAGTGATGAAATATGTTAATTTAGAATAAATACACACAAAAAGTAAGATGACACATGTTGAGAATCAGAAATAGCTCTGCATGAAGAGGACGGGTCAATATCATCTTCATGATTTCGCTGCTTTACAGAGATTTGGACACTTTCAAACGCCAGAGCCTGAAATATGTTTTTTATATTTGTACACTTCAAACACATCACTAATTAAATTCACTTGAATATAAACATTGTTCATTTCTATAAAAACATTAATACTGTAAGATGCCAGCTGAAGATGTAGGTCTCACATTTCACAACAGCATGGATGGACCTGGAGAGTACTGTGCGAAGTGAAATAAGCCATTCTGAGGAGGACAAGCTGCATGAGACTTCAGATGTGTGCAATCTGATGCGCAAAGTAAACTAACAACCAAAACAGAGACAGACTCACAGATACAGAAGCAGACTGACAGCTGTCAGAGGGGAGAATTGGGGGGACTGAGTGAGAACGGTGAAGGCATTAATGAAAAAATAAAATGAAATAAAAACCCATAGACACAGACAACAGTAGGGTGATGACTAGAGGGAAGGGGGTGGGGGAGGTAGAAGAGGGTAAACGGGGGATAAATGGTGATGGGAGGAGACCTGATTGGGGTGGTGAACACACAAATACAATTTACAGATGGTGTATTATAGAACGGTACCCCTGAAAGCTGTATCATTTTATTAAGCAATATGACCTCAGTCAATTCAATAAAAATTTTAAAATTAAAAAAAAAGCTGTAAGTAATTAAACTACAAATACCTGAAGTGGTACCTCGTTGCTCTGTGTTAAAACCAAACCTGGAACATCACTCCAATGAGGAGACTGGCCATCACCAAGGAGCCAAGTTAGGGAACCTGGGTCCCTGGGTTGGCAAATTTCCTGTCACATGAAGGGACATCATCACAATGGACACATCTCTTTGCCATTAATGCAGATATTTGGGCACATAGTGTTTCTCCCAACCTTTTACCCAACAGTAGTGGAACCTGTCACACTTGGTTTTGGTCAATTATTTCATTGGAGGTCACAAAACAGTAATTTCACAGATCAGTTCTATCGTTCTTCTGTGTTCATTCCCGGTGCCTCTTGTACACAGGTAAGTGTCCCTTCACCAAGGCTGTGTAAGTTAAACCTTCACCTAAATGTAGCTACTCATCATGATTGTCCTTCAATCTCCACTTTCTGGAGCAAGAATTATGTTTGTGTCCTTCCATGATGGTGTTCAAGACTTGTTTTTCTTCTTTAAAACTGCTGTATGTATCAGCAAGAATTCAGTGTTTAATGATCCATTTGTCACATTTGGTCACATTCATTTCTCCATTGGTCGCTGGATTACCCCAGTCTTGGCCAGGGGCTGTCACCTGAACCACATTCTTGGAGCTTCGGCTGAATCCCCACTTACTCATTCAGCCTTTCTCTTCTTTATATCACAGTGCGTTGTTCCACGCTCAGTGTGTACTTCTCCTGCCAACTGCTCACATGGGCACACATGCTTGCAAGAACCTCAGATATTTTTAACAGGAAATAGCATTTAGAACCCAAGAACTATGTTCCACATGTGTGTGTCTAAGAGTGTGGAAATGTTTTCACTTAGGATGTCTTTATTGACAGATGTTTGAAATGGAAATGAAATTGAAATGCACTGCATGGATTGACAGTACACCCACAACAAGAGTAAATACATTTTTACAGGCATGAAACACTCTTTTACAAAGATTTCATCTGGGTCTCAAACAGCACAATAGAGTGTTGTCACGAGACCATGAGGAAAATACTGTCACAAGAGTGGACAATAATCAAGTCCCAGTGCCCAGCGCAGTGCCTGGCATCCGGAAGGTGCTCGGTAACTCTTTGCTCGTCATTGCCATGGACGACACCTAAGTGTGTAAAATATTACATGTTCAGCTTACAATGATTTTATGAAATGTCATAAGGTCATGGACTTCCATGGGACACTTGGCTGGCCTTGGGGGTGGAATGCAGTCTGTGCTTTCAACAAAATAAAATGAAAGTAATATTCTAAAGATATGTAAGTGAATGAATGAGCAAATAGATAGATAAGTAAAGCATTAGTTCTGTTTGAATTTTACAGTTCAGCTAATAATACAGGGTCTAGAAACTGTTCCATACACTTCCTCTCTGTCTCATTACTTCTGTATTCTTACATCTCAGTTTCAGAAAAACATTTCAAAAGTGTAAAGCAAACATCACTGTTAGCACAGTAACTACTGAGTGACAGCTAAAATGCTTTTGTATCTGTTCTGTCCCAGGATGTTGGACGCCCTCTAGTATTCCAAAGAACTGGACAGAGATTCTAATCTCTGCTTGGCTTGCTTACCAAATTAGTAGTAACATTTTACATTTATTTGCATTGGTGATTTCTTCAGTTTTAGATTTTTCTGCTTTATCCTATATTAACATAATCTTTTTTCCAATTTATTCCCTTGTTTATATCTTCCTTGCACATGCCCTTACAAATCTAACCAATGCATCAATTTTAACTCTAATTATTTCCTTTCTTTTTTCATATATAAATTTATTAATTATAAAAAAGCATAATTATAGTTATATTATATATTATAGTTATAAATAATTATATATATTAGTTGTAATTATATATATATAATTAAGACAGTACACTGTCTCCAATAACTGGGCGGGGGGGGCATGAATGTAAGGAAATACAACAATGAAGCCATAAGACACCGCAGTCTCTCTGCATGAGCTGGTGTGAGAAGAGAACCTGGGCCCACTTCCTGCTGAGAGAGGAGATGAGACAAAAGGGGGACAAAGGAGCTGAGAGGTAGAAACAGCCCCTTCATCCCTGGAGCCGGCACCCCTCTGCTCACCCAACCCTGGACCACAGGGACTCCGGAAAACACCGCAGGTGCGTCTGAACAGTTCGCTCCCTCCAGAGTCCACATCCAAGTTCATACATCACATGACACACAAGACATAACCTCCTTCACCTGAGCAAGACCTCTGCACCAGCTCTGCCCTCCGAACTCTGTAACCCTTCTCATCCCCGGAGCCCTAAATCAGGAGGACAGTGACGCCAAACAGGTGATAGTTCATCGATGAAATAATTCTTCTGTGTTTTGATTGGTCATTGAAATCATTACTTTATCTGCTCCTTGTTTTTTGTTGCCAGTGACACCTTGTAATATTCCAGAAAGAAAGCAGGGACGTCCATGCACAAAAGATAGGAATGAATCGTACTTTCTAGCACCTGCAGGAAAATGGTGCTACAGCCATGAGGACAACTGTGTGACTTTTTCACAAGGTGGCTGGATGGCATCTCTTGCACGTGAGAAGGTAGGTCCCCAGAAGTACCAGGCCACAGTAAGTGACGTGCGTAAAGCTCCCTGTGTGTGAACCTCTCAAAGGCCAGAGACGTAGGTGCGCAGACGTGAGGGCAATGAGGCCTGGGTGACGACGATGGGGTCAAGGGGAGCGTTCTGGGAGCGAAAAGGTCCCAAGAGGTCTTTCCTTTTATGAGAAGCTCTTCATGAAAACCACAGGAGATATGAAAGAGTGCTTTTGAGAAAAAGAATATTAATTATACATTACTGAGTAATAAAAACTTAAGATAAATAACATTGAATAGTAACATTTTAGCAAACATTTGCTAGTAGCTTTGGTTACTGGTGCTCACAGACCTGAAGGACTGAGGCTGGGTGAGGACACATGCAGGACAAGGGATACTTACTTACAGGGACATTGACTCGGAGTTATTCCCAGTCCACCTCTTGACGGAGAAAACCTCATCCATTTCTAGAGTTGTTTAATTTAAAAATTACTGTTTCTTGTCAACTTTGCATCAGGTGTGTTAATATCACTGAGGGAGGTTGTGCAAGGACAATGAGGAAAGGGAGTCACAAAGAGATTGGGAAACTTTCAACAAAAATTTGCATATATTGCAAAACTCTCTGAACTTTGATATTAAGTGAACTCAACAAACCAGCTTCCTGGCAGTGCCCTGAAATTCAGGCTCACACTAACAACCGCTCACGAGGCAGACTCACACCCCACAGAGCACGGCTGGGATATTCGTGTTGATACACCCTCGGGGATGTCCAACATGCTGCTGTCCCTGGTCAGTTTCATTGTCACCTTGTGGGCCTCCCGAGCTCATGGACAAGGTAAGCTGGACACAGAGCTGCACACTCAGCTCCCTTCAACCTGCAACTTCTTGTCGTTCCTACTTGCTTGTGCCTCTGGGTTTAATGAATCGAATCATAGGAATAGTGTGTATTGTGACATCACAACAGAGAATATCTCCTACATGAGGGCAGCTTGGTGAGAGTCGGACTCTGGCAGACAGGTCCCCCCCGCCCCAGGGGCACAGAGATCCAGGACTGGGTGTGTGGAAGGGCCTGGGAGCAATAGCTTCCTCTCTCTGAGTTAGCGCCTCCCCAGTCCTGCACCTGGTGGAGGTTTGGGGTCCGAGACCTCCAGGCTCAGTGGTTTTGTACTTGGTTTTGTTGTTCAGGTTGACTTGACCCACTCAAGGCTCGTTTCTAAACTGATAAAGCTGGTTTGGCAGCCTGCCCACTAGGACCAGGTTACTCGAAATGTGGATGAAGAAGGCCTCTTCTGGCCCCTCTAGTAAATGAGTAGTGTTTAAAGACGTCCTTCCAATTTGACTGATCCGATGTGAAAATCTCCTAATGTTGAGGGTGATTGTTTCACCCTCATGAAGTGATGGTTTCCTGCTGGTTCTTCCTGGAGGGGTTACTCCCTGCCCATTGTGGCGGGGCTCTGCCCTGCTCTGAAGCGTGATGTGTTCAGCCTGCAGGTGTGTGGGGCTCTCTCCCTCTGTAGCTCTTCCCACTGTGTTCTCTAGACTCCAAGTTCAGTGATGTCAGCCTGTTTGAGAATGCCGGGTTTGTCCTTCTGTTCAGTGTGACTGATGTCTTCGGCTTGAGTGTTTTCTTCCTTGTTGTATTCAGGAGACTTTGTACCCCCGCCCCAATGAAGCCACTGTGAGAACAGAGCCCACAGCATTCGCCTTCTCTCTCAGCAGTCAGAGCCAGGCGCTAGGTGCATGCACACAGCTCACAGGGTTGTTTTCACAGGGTTGGTTCAGTTTCTTCACTGTGCGGGGCTGGATCTCTCTTCGGTATTCCTACCGTGCATTTCTTCATTTTATTAAATTTCTTCCATAAGCCTACTTTTAATTCTGTACATTTTTCTGTAGTGTTTGTTTTCAATTTACGTCTGCCAACATTGTCATTTTTTCAAATATGTTTTTCTGTGTTCAGTGTGAATGGGAATGGCACATGTGGAAGCTAGTTATGATGACATGTGCACACATTATGAAGTGACAACCACGTCAAGGTCGTTAGCACGTCCATCCCCTCATTTAGGGACCTTGGTTCGGCATGAGGCGAGAACACGTGACTCTTCCTTCTCAGCGATAATTAGAACGTGTCCCGGGGATGGACACAATCTAGGAGTGCTCGGGCGTGCTGTAGCATTCCACATGCGGTGCACAGACACATCCTAATAATTTATTTTTTACATTTATTTTTTATCTTCATTTTCATTGGTGACCCTTTTACAGATGTCCCCATCCCTCTTTGCCCAATGCCACACAGCCCCAACTCCTTCCTGTAGCCATCAGTAATTTCTTATAAGGCAATCTGAATATACTAAGCCTTGCTTAGTTCCCAGACCTGGTTTTAATACCTTTTTAAAAAATCTGTTGCTCAGTTACTGTTGTCCCGCCTTGCTCAATGCCACCCCGCCCCCCAACTCCCACAGCCAACCCCCTCCTCTTCATTTTCCATGCCCATGAGTCCTCTTGTCCCCTGCCCTTCTTTTCCCTGTTATACCCCTCCCCCACCCCTCTGGTCACTGTCAGTTTCTTCTTTATTTCCATATTTCTGGTTCTATTTTCTCTTTTGTTTTCTGTGTTGATCAGCTTCCACTTATAGGTGAGATCATATGATGTTAGCCGTTCACTTCCTGGTTTATTTCACTTAGCATGATGCTCTCCAGTTCCATCCATGCTGTGTGCAAAGGGTGGGAGTTCCTTCTTTTCTCTGCTGCGTAATATTCCACTGTGTAAATGTACAACAGGTTTTTGATCCACTCATTGACTGATGGGCACTTAGGCTCTTTCTGTCATTTGGCTTTTGTAAATAACCCCGCTGTGAACATTATGTAACACAGGTTCTTTTGAATTGGTGATTCAGGATTCTTAGGGTATGGGCGCAGCAGAGGGATCACTTGATTGAAAGTCAGTTCCATCTTTAGTTCCTTGAGGAAACTCCACACTGTTTTCACAGTGACTGTACCAGTCTGCATTCCCACCAACAGTGCACTAGGGTTCCCTTTTCTCAGCAACCTTGCCAGCACTTGTTTGTTGATTTAATAATGAAGGCAATGTCTTCTCAATGGGAATGGTTATGTTGATATATATTTCGATATATATTTTTGGAGACTCATAGCTTATTTTCTCTGATACCAGACCTTGGATGATTAGGACTTTCCAGGTTTTCATTCACAACAGAAGCCCCATTTTTTGTTGTTTTTGCTGTATTTTGTTAGAACCCTAATGATCATGTGTATGGACCCTATGCTTACCTTTCCCTCATGCTCTCTTCCCTTTAGTCACATGTTTAAAGTCGGATATAGAAGTTGAGAATGGATTTTTTTCTGAATCTGAACTGACATACCCCTTATATAAAGAAACACAATACAAGTGCAAACAAGGTTACTTAACAGAAGATGGTCAGACATCAGGAAAGATCACGTGTCTGCAGCGTGGATGGTCCGCTCACCCCAGGTGCATTAGTAAGTCATTCATGATGTTGAGTTATTGCCCCGATGCCTGTGGCAGAAATGGTTACTTTACCTGATTTCCTTTCCTTGGGCTGGTGGAAGCTGAGGTGGTTCCACTTGAAAAGATAAATAAAAGGTTTTTGAGAAAGTTTGCATAAGTTTTGCCTTTTACAATGACCTACTAGAAGGTAGATATAGCCCATCTTTCAGTTCAGGGTTTTCTCATCATAAAACTTCCCGTGATTTCCAAACTGGTGAGAGCCCTTCTGTATGTTCTGGTGTCAACTCATTCATTTCTACATGAGGCCTTGGCCTGGGCCTGTTTTCAGGGGGTCAGACTTTTACATCTGGGTGTTCATTCCTAGACATAAAAGTTATGTTTTAAATTGCAACGTGTTCACAGTACATAATTGTAAAACAGTGTCACCTGTGTAATTTATATGTGCAATAGCAGAGCAGGCCCATTTCCAAATAAAATTTATATTTTTAAGAAAACATACATCAACATTGAATCAGTGGAGACTAAGAAGTGCTTGTTGCCTCCTCAATGTTTATGAGAATATTCTAAGAACACTTTTCTCATTTTATAGTATTTATCCCAAAGCCACATAATAGTATTTTTCATTCACATGAAGTGAATATGTAAAATATCCACTTTTATTATTTCATTTTTTTCAGTTTCTATACTTACAATGCGGACTAGCGAAAGAAAAAATGATGAAGGTTGCCTTTATATCACATTGATACTATATTAAATTGTGATTAATTATCCATTACAACACTCTGACTTGGAAAGAAAAATGTCTCTTATTATTTTTATTGTTATAGTTTTCTTTACTTTTTAAATCTTTAAATTAGCTGGCTGCATAATATGTTTAAAAATTTCAGGAAAACTATTGAAGTCTACATTAACATCTTTCTGGAAAGGAGTTAGTGAAAATGGAGACTATTTGTTCAACAATTTAATTTCCTATACAAGTTATCAGTGTGGAACTATTTCTCCATTCAGTCTTGATAAGTATAGAAGAATATCCAGCCATTAAGAGGATATTAGAAAAAAGTTCAATTAGCATGTGAGTTTTTAAAATTAGTAAGTTCTAAAGTAGATTTCTATAGAATGTTTAAAAATCACTGTCACTGTTGAAAATTAATCTTTTCATTGAACCAGTTAACTTCATTTCTGGCATTGATGGCCCAACTGCTACTGAGTTTGGCTCCTACCTCCATTCACCAAATGCTACTCTGCTTTGCCAGAACCAAAGTCCAGCAGGTCTGTTAGGGTCTAGTTTCCTGCTAGGGTGAAATAAATGTGTGAGTGTAATGGCATTGAGAAAAATGACCTTAAATTGTTCAGATGATTTAAGTGATGGTAAAACTACTTTGTAGAAACACCTGTTTTCATCCTGAGTAACAATATCAGGACAGTGACTTATCACTGGTATTCTGAGATTGCTCTTAGGTGATGCATTTCCTTGGGATGGGACTTACCCCTTTAGAGTGTCTGTTAAATGCTACTGGACATGAACTCTTCAATTCCATTGTGCATTAGAATCTTGTGATATGCCAGTGCTTGAGAATGCCAGAGCCAGAAGTGGCAGCACGTGGTTTAAGGTCAATGACAGGTTGGACTATGAGTGCCAGGATGGATATAGAAATGAAGATGGACGCACCACAGGCTTCATAGTGTGTGGTCACAGTGGTTGGTCTGGTACACCCTCCTGTCACGGTAAGTCACTTTTCAGGATTATCATAATAAAATTCATTTAAAATGTTTTATTTTTAACAAATTTGGATTATGTGGAATTACTTTTAATGCATACTGAATACAACTGAGTTGTCTCCTTCTGATTCAATGCAAATTGGGAGGACAGGGGTTTTGAAGTCTAAAGACAACAACCCATCCAACCCAGTGCACTGATGTGCCCTAGAGTGCAAGCACATCACAAATCTGTGATGAAAGTGTAATCTCCCTGTCACTCTTTTCTGGGATCAGAGGCAGATCTAGATTGTATGAACCCAGAAGCTTTGATAGCCTTGAGGGCCTTCTGTAAGGAAGAATGCCCAATCAGGAATATGTGCTTCCAAGGCCATCAGGCACGACAGAACAATGTGAAGGAATGGACCTAGAGGTGACAGAGACAGTGGTAGAAAGCACCAGGGTCAATATGGCTTTCTATTGAGAATTTGCAGTTACCCATGACTCTGAGGACACACTGGTCAGAATTCGCCAGCACGATGTAAGGCTTCCAAGGACAGAGCAAACAAATGGCAGCTTAGCATTCCTTTCAGAGGGCTTTCCTCGGCCACGTAGCAGGGACTGGCACACTGAGTAGCTGACACTGGAATTGATTTCAAATGTCCTGGAAAGTCTCCTGGTTGGAGAGGAGTTTCCAAGCAATGTTATCATAAACCATTAAGCCAAACAGTGCCAACAACAATCTTAACTACATGTACATTTCAGAGTTAAAAGTCCAGACCAACATATTGAAGTCTCAGTGCTAGGATTTAGAATTTTGACTTTTGAATGAATATAAATAAAAATCTGTAATTCAGGATATGCCTATTCATTCTCCTTCTTAAATCACATTTCTTAAGTCCTTCTATAAATATAACAGCTGGAAATAGCCAACAGCCAAAACTTATTTGTTGTTGTTTTCTTTTTTTTGCTCAAGGCAGCATTGTTTTACAATACGATGAGATAGAGAATTGATAGGAAATGAGCACAAAATATGGAAATGAGGACACACACTAATACAAGAATTGCTATGGAAAATATTGGAAAAACATTTTAGAAGTATCCCAGTTGTTCCCATTCAAGCATGATCTTCTCAATAAGCTACAAAGCTCACGTTAAAGCAAAAGCCAAAACAAAAGCAAATTATTGAGGTTTTTGTTACATCACTTTTGAAAATCTTTAAGTTATGTCTACCTTTATGATTATGTGTTAATACTCAACTTTTAATTCATAAGAATTCTCTTCTTGCTGTGATTGGAAATATTAAATTCCACTTATTAATTTTTATATTAATGAATGAGAGAGGAATCAAGCAAAATGTATTTTTATAACATTTAACAATGTAATAAATTTCACAATTTTAAAAAATTTTAAGGCATAATTTACACATTCTACGTTGAATCAGAATAACTAATAATTTATTAATGGCCAACATAAACTATACCTAAGTAAGAACAGATAGTTTTATAGTATATAAATATTCAGGACACCTAGAATACGTCTACCTCTGTGACCTTGGGAATGTTGTTTTATCTTCTTTTATGTTTCAGCTTGATTACATTTTGGGTTAATTTATTAATTAAGCAATTTCTAATGTTCCTCTAACTGAAAATATCAGAAATGCCTCTCTGAGTGTCCTGGTTTCCCATGTATACGAAACAAAAGTTCCACTTTTTATTTATGCATGCTCCAATTTAAAATTATAGCATTAATGGGGTTTTTGTGAGAGAATAGTTTTATTTTGATAATACAAAAACAAATATTAAATTTTATAAATGTCAATGATAAAATCAGATCCAATATGAGCAATTTCATCTCACAAATTTTCATAACACATGTATTCATATTCAGGGAGTCCCGTATGAATTTGAAGGAGGTGTAAATCTAATACATGAATGTTTTTCCAGGGAGAGGATTGGTTTGATGCCTCTCTGTATATGCAACACCCAGCAACTTATCTTTGCATGATATATAACATTTATTTGGCAATGAAAAATTGTATATGCTCATTAAGTTATTTTCATAATAATTATGAAATTGTTTTTATAGAAAAGGAATGCATTGTTCCTGATATAGATCAAACAATAGATGTTCAGCCCAAGAAAGAGAAATATTTCATTGGAGACGTGTTGAAATTCTCCTGCAGACAAAGACTGAAACTTGTTGGACCAGATTCAATTCAGTGTTACAACTTTGGGTGGTCACCAGATCCTCCAACATGTAAAGGTGAATGTTTATCTGACAACTGCTCCAACAAGAATTAGAATTTTGGTTTTCCCATTGTGTTTCCCTGTTAGCATTCTGTTGGTTTCCAGGGTGTCTCTAATCTATGGCATTAAGCCAGAGATTTACTTCAGAAAACCATGCATTGGTAGTACGTGTCTCAGAGCCCTTGTTTAAGAAGTTCACCTTCAGTGGTGCTTGGTGCTGGAGGCACTTCTTTTTAGTCCTGTTTTTGCATCTCATTCTGCCAGCATGGGCTTCACTTCAGGTTCCACTGAGTGTGTCTAAACAATATTTAAGCATTTTAGAGTCAATTCAATCATAGATATGACTTAAAACTAGCTCATCAAGTGCTTGGCTCCAATGATGGTATTTTTTTCAACAAGTCTTGGCCCTGACCAGGGAGCTCATTTGGTTAGTGCATCATTCCAATGCTGCAAGGCTGCAGGTGCAATCTCAGGTCAGGGCACATACAAGAAGCAACCAGTGAATGCATCAATGAATGGAACAACGAATCCACATTTCTATCTCTCCCCGCTCTCAATCCCTCCCTTGCTCTCTTTAAGCTAAATAAATAAAAAATATTTAAGATAAAAGTCTTGATAGATGTTTCTAAGGAATATGAACATCATTAAAAGTTACGCTAGTATATTTGTTACTTAGTTTGCATATATTTTTAGACTATCTAGAATACAGAACATGTTTCCTGGGCTTAAATGTACTTGCAGTTTGCTAAATTGGCATGAGTAACAGAACTGGGAGACCTGAACCTAGTGTATACACCACACTTTTTCCTTTCATGAAGACTGCTATAATAAATTAGATAATAATAAAAACTATACTTTCAGGGATCATTTCTATAAGTTGCTAATAATCTAGATAATAAGTAAGAAATTTAAGAAAAATTATACCGGATTTTAATTTGTCAAATAGACTATTTAACCAGTAACTATACTGCATTTCTACCGTAGAGGAAGTGAAACCATGTGGTCCACATCCTCAGCTCCCCAATGGGAAAGCTACAAACACCCCTAAAGAAGAACATGAACACGGTGAAGTTGTGGAGTACATCTGCAACCCCAGGTTTCTGTTGAAGGGTTCTCGGAAAACTCAGTGTGTTGATGGGGAGTGGACATCCTTGCCCCAGTGTATCGGTGTGTATAGAAATGTTAATACTTAGACTTAAGTCAATAGTATGCATTTGTATTCATAGAAACACATAATTTATTTTCACTTTTTGTTTATTTACAGGAGTTTTGTTGTTTGTTTATTTTTATTGTTGTTCAATTACAGTTGTCCCCATTTCCCCCATTCCTTTCCCCTGCCCTACCAACCCTTCTCATCCCACATTCAATCCTCCCCTCCCCATTGTCTTTGGCCATGGGTCCTGTATACATGTTCCTTGGCTTGACCCTTCCCTTCTTTTCCCCATTATCCCCCTCTCCCTCCCCTCTGGTTACTGGCAGTTTGTTCTTCATTAACATATGCTTGTGACATTTTCACAGAGGAGGACAGCACATGTGAAGTCATACCTCACATCGTTCACGGCACCATCGATTCCCAGGATCGTCCCTATCACCATGGAGAGTCTGTGCAGGTCACCTGCAGAGAAAGGTTCACAATGGTGGGGCCTAAATCAGTTACATGTTTGAAGGGAAAGTGGACCCAACCACCTGAGTGCATTGGTGAGCATGCCTTTCTAAAAGGGCCCTGTGAGACCGTTTAATATTTTTATTGTAAAGCCCTTGCCACCATATTTTTGAAATTTGGAGATATTCATGAAAGTGTCAGGTCATAAATTACAAAGAATCAAAAGATTTGTTGTCTATACTTCAATAGTGTCTGCAGGGGAAAAATAGAATCTAGTGATACAATTTTATGAATCTGTTCTGATGTTAACATTATTTATAAGTATGAAGCTAAATTTTACTTGTACATAGATGTATGATTAAAATTTCCTCCTTCAATGTTTATTTTGTACCTCCTGTTAGTCTTAACTTTTCATTCTCCTCAGGATGCTTATTCTTCCCTAATAAAGAAATTACTTCAGACACCAGTCACACACCAGTCACACACCAGTCACCATAGGACATAGGAGAAGAACCACATACATCCTTTCAACTACAAATCTTCCTTCAGTTACCATCCCTTGAAGAGGAATATTGTTCTTTTCTTTCTCAGCACTCTGGACAAGTCCTGGGAAAGTAATACTAATTCTCAAGAATCTAGTGTGTGTTAAATTAGTCCCTTTATTTGTTTTTCAGGGTTGCATTACAAAATCCTTACTCTTTTTTGGCCAATTACTTGAATTTTCTTTCTTCTGATCTTCCTCACTTGACATCATTACCAATTATTAACAAATACTACCCGAGACCTACACTGACATCAAGTTCAAAACAGAATTTGCCATATGTATGAAATTTTTGAAATACATAGTTGTATAAAAACTTTATTAATCTATAGATAGCATACTAAAGCCAGCAAAAAAATGGATTATTCTACCATGATAATATTGGATTATATAACACTGGATTATAGGATGATCTGGTGTATAAAAGAGCTTCTCAAAGATTCTAAAGCATGTATGCAAAATAGGTTATGACTTAACCACCTAACTTGTTATTCTTAATTTTGGTGATCATGCACAAGATGTGCCTCAATATTCACATTCTATACTCCATAACTTAGATCAACTTTTCTTGTTATTTTATCTTAACTTTATTGAAACAATATAATGAAACTACCAACTTTATATATCCTATTTGCACAGATCTTTGTTTTTTTAATTCTTTACATTGTGGATTAAAAATAATGCAGACAATTTTGAGATCAAGAAAAGAATGGATGTGAACATTTGCACACATTTCAAATGGGACCAAATTTAGTCATGTGATGACTCTTCTCTATGCAGATAAAGCAAAAACTGAACCTCTATGTTCTTGCAATTCCCAAAGTGCCAAATGCCTTAACGATGGTTATTCTCTCTGAAATATCAGCACTGGACATGGGACTATGTTCCTACATAACAGCCTACCTCATGCAACATGATCAGGAATAACTGTGCTGGTGGAATTTATAGACCTAAATTCCCATTTCATTGTACTCTGGTCTCTATAGCTATTTTTTGTATTAGTTGCTTAGATTCTCATGATTAGTATTTTCAAGGTACTGTCTTCATTTTACAGAAACAGGTAACATTAAGACATGTAAATTACGAAGGTCACTTGAATATAAGACAGCCGGGTCATATAAGGTTGACTATGACCATAATGAGCAAGTGAATTACATATGCCGAAGAAGGTCAGAACAGAAACACTCAGTCTGTGTCAATGGAAGATGGGATCCCGAAGTGAACTGTGGAGGTGAGTTCTTGATTATAACATTTTCAAATGTCATCCATTTCTTCCTACCTTGTAAAAGGAGCCTCGTTGTGTCTTAAAACTTTTTATTAACTATTTATTACAAATAATCCCCAGATGGGAGGTGATTTAGAAAATAACCAGAGCACTGTTTCAAAATACTAATTGTATCATGTGCATTCTACAGCTACCTGACAAACCACTCATGAACTGGTGACTTCAACTTTGGGAAGTAGGTCTGCTCATTGCTGTTGGAATACCATTCCTACTAATTTTTTGTGTTACTACAGTGCTTATGCTTATACCTCTAACTCATGTAGCTATCTTAGTATCTAGGGATGTATACACCCTTCTATGAATGTATTCATCTATCTCTGTAGGTATTTACCCACTGAGGCATCTATAGTTTTGTTTATCCATATCTGTCTTAGAAACAGTCTTATTGCCACCACCAATTCCAACAGTACAGGGCTCATTCCCATTCCCAGCTTTCCACATCTGTGTTGCTCTTCTCCAGCTGTAGGGCACCTGGACTCACTTTCCTCAGTGCTTTTACCAATTTCCTCAGCCCTATAATACAGAGAAAGCAGTTTCATACCAATACAAAACTCCTACTTATTTTCAGATCTTCTTTTTTATTTTTTAAGGTTTTATTTACTTATTTTTAGAGAGAGGGGAAGGAATAGAGAAACAGAGGAACAGAAACATCAATATGTGGTTGCCTGTTCCATGCCCCCCACCAGGGACCTGCCTGCAACCTAGCATGTGCCCTGATTGGACATCAAACCAGTGACCTTTTGGTTTGCAGGCCAGCACTCAGTCCACTGAGCCACACCAGCCAGGACATATTTTCAGATCTTCTTAATGGAAAGAAGGAGTAATTATAGTCTGTGAAATGCAAGTGTTCATCTGTTTTCTTCTAAGAAGCTTTATACAGTTTTCACATTTATATTTAAGAATATTCTCCATGTTAAATTAAGCTTGAGTGTGCTGTAAAATAAGGGTTGATCTTTTTTGCAGATGGACATTTAATTGTTCTAGCATTATGAGGGGGAAAGCCTTTGAAATAAAAATCAATTGTCTGTGGAAGTGACAGTTCATTTTTCAACCCTCTGTTTTAGTCTGTTTATCCACTTTTCTATTCTTAGCCCCACCACTTTGCCTTGATGAGTACTACTGTACACTAAGTCTTGGATTCTGCTGTGTTTTCACCAATTATGCTCTTCATCTTTCAGATTGTTTTAATTATTCTGGTCTTTTCATTAACAGAAATTTCAGGAAAAACTGTTTGGCTTATGTAATGCATCTATGGGTGAAAGCAAACGGACAGCTTCTCTAGTGAAAGATAAATTAGGGAGAGCCGGCATCTTCGCTACACTGAGTGTTCAATCCATAAACTTGGTATATCTCATCAGTCTTTTATTTTGGCTTCTATTTTCTCAGCAATGATTTGGGTAGAAGATGTAGAGATTTTGAAATGTATTTATATTTCATATTTTTGACATTTCAAATGGTATTTTTCATGTTTGCATTTTCCAATTTTTGCTCTAAGTCTAAGGAAATGTATTTTATTTTTGGAAATTGATTTTATACTCTGAAACTACACAGAATGACATTATTCATTTTATGCATTCTTTTGTAGATCAAGTACAAATATCATTCAAATATACAGTTAGATTTCTACTGGTCCCTTTTTATTTTGCTATTTAGTTTGTCTTCTTTATTGTACTAGCTCAGACCTTCAGAACGGGGTTGAGAGGAAGTAAAGAGAACAGACATCTTTATCTTATTTTTGACCTCTGGGAGACAGTATTTCATTTCTTACTACAACTACAATGTTAGCTTAGAATTTTTGTAGATTCCTTTTATCAGTTTAACTGAATTTCCTTCTGCTCCCACTTTGCTCAGTAAGGAATTTTATCATCCAGTACTGTTGAGCATTTTTCATTGCTTTTTATGCTTTTTGATGGGATAATCTGACATTCTTAATTTTTCTTTTCTTTTTTTTAATTACGTTATTGTTGTTCAGCTACAGTTGTCTGCATTTCACCCCCCCCACACTGCCTCCCCAGCCATCCCCACCTCCCTCCCCTGCTTCCACCCCTCCCCTTAGTTTTGTCCAGGTGTCCTTTGTAGGTTTTCCTGAAAACCCTTCCCCTTCTACTCCATTATCCTTTTACACCTCCCCTCTGGTTACTGTCAGATTGTTCTTATTTGAGTATCTCTGCTTATATTTTCCTTGCTTGTTTGGTTGGTTGATTAGGTTCCACTTATAGGTGAGATCATATAGTATTTGTTCCTCACAGCCTGGCTGATTTCACTTAGCATGATGCTCTCCAGATCCACCCATGCTGTTGCAAAGGGTAGGAGCTCCTTCTTTCTTTCTGCTGCACAGAACTCCATTGTGTAAATGTACCAGAGTTTTTTGATCCATTCATTTACTGATAGGCACTTGCTTCCAGCACTTGGCTATTGTATAAGTGGTGCTTCTATGAACATCGGGGTGCATAGGATCTTTTGGATTGGTGTTTCAGGGTTCTTAGGATTAATCCCAGCAGTGGAATTGCGAGGTCAAAAAGGCAGCCCCATTTGTAGTTTTCTGAGGAAATTCCATACTGTTTTCCACAGTGGCTGCACCAGTCTGCATTCCCACCAACAGTGCATTAGGGTTCTCTTTTGTCTATGTCCTCTGCAGCAGTTGTTGTTTATTGATTTGTTTATGATGGCCATTCTGACTGTTGTGAGGAGATACCTCATTGTGGTTTTAATTTGCAACTCTGATGGCTAGTGATGCTGAACATCTTTTCATATGTCTCTGGGCTCTCTGTATGTGCTCTTTGGAGAAATGTCTGTTCAAATCTTTTGCCCATTTTTTATTGGATTGTTTGTCTTCATGGAGTGGAGTCATGTGAGTTCTTTATATATTTTGGAGATGAAACACTTTTCCTAGGTATCATTGGCAAATAGGTTTTCACATGTAGTTGGTTCTCTTTTCATTTTAATGCTTTAGCCATGCAGATGCTTTTTAATTTGAGGAGGTCCCATTTGTTTATTATTTCCTTTATGTCCCTTGCTCTAGGGAACATAAGGGTGAAAATATTGCTGTGTGGAATATCTGAGGTTTTCCTGGCTATCTTTTCCCCTAGGACTTTTATGGTGTCATGACTTATATTTAAGTTTTTTATACACCTTGAATTTATTTTTCTGTATGGTATAAGCTGGTGATCAAGTCCAATTTTTTGCATATAGCTGTCCAAATCTCCCAATGCCATTTGTAGAAGAGGCTATTTTTACTCCATTTTATGCTTCTGCCCCTTTTGTCAAATATTAATTGACCATAGAGACATTGGTTTATTTCTGGGCTCTCTCTTCTGTTCCATTGGTCTATGTGTCTGTTCTTGTGCCAGTAAGAGGCTGTTTTGATTACAGTGGCCTTGTAATACAGTTTGATATCAGGTATTATGATCCCTCCTACTTTGTTCTTCTTTATCAAAATTGCTGCAGCTATTCAAGGTCATTTATGGTTTTATATAAATTTTTGAAACATTTGTTCTATATCTGTGAAATATGTCACTGGTACTTTAATAAGGATTGCATTGAATCTATGTATTGCTTTGGGTACTATGGACATTTTGATGATGTTAATTCTTCCAATCCATGAGCATGGTACATGCTTCCATTTGTTTGTGTCTTCCTTATTTTCTTTCTTGAGTGTTGTGTGGTTTTATGAGTACAGGTCTTTTACATCCTTGGTTAGGTTTATTCCTAGGTACTTTATTTTTCTTGTTGCTCTATCAAATGGGATTTTTTCCTGATTTCTGTTTCTGATAGTTCACTATTAGTGTACAAATATGCCTTTGATTTCTGCATATTGACTATGTCTCACTGTTGTGCCAAATTCACTAATTAGGTCAGTTTTTTTGGTGGAGTCTACAGGATTTCCTATACACTATCATGTCATCTGCAAACAATGACACTTTTGCTTCCTCCTTTCCAATTTGGATGCCTCATTTCTTTTCCTTGCCTCATTGCTGTGGCTAGGACTTCCAGTACTGTGTTGAATAGAAGTGATGAAAGCAGATGTCCTTGTCTTGTTTCTGATTTTAGTGGGAAAGCTTTCAGTTTTTGCCCACTGAGAATGTTCTTGACTGTAGGTCTCTTTTATATGGCCTTGTTTATGTTGAGGAATGCTCCCTCTATTCCACTTTGCTGAGTGTTTTTATCATAAATGGATGTTGTACATTGTCAAATGCTTTTTCCACATCAATTGATATAATCAAGTGATTATATCATGTGATCATGTGATTTTTGTCTTTCCTTTTATTTATGTGATATATTACATTGATTGATTTGCAAATATTGAACCATCCCTGCATCCTTGGGATGAATCCCACTTGATCACAGTGTATGATATTTTTAATGTACTGCTGGATGTGGTTTGCCCATATTCTCTCGAGAACTTTAGTGTCTATGTTCATCAACAATATTGTCCTGAAGTTTTCTTTCTTTGTTATGTCTTTATCTGGTTTTGGGATTAAGGTGATACAAGCTTTATAAAATAGTTTGGAGTCTTCCATATTCTTGGATCTTTTGGAATAGTCTGTGAAGGATAGGGGTTAGCTTTTCCTTAAATGCTTTGTAGAATTCTCCTGTGAAACCATCTGGTCCAGGGCTTTTGAGTGTCGGGAGTTTATTACTGCTTCAATTTCATCAGTTATTATTGGTCTATTCAAGCTTTCTGCTTCTCTATTCACTTCTAGAAGATTATATATTTCTAGAAATGTGTTTATTTCACCTAGATTTTCAAATTTCTTAGCATATAGTTCTTCCTAGTAATTTCTTACAATCTGTTGTATTTCTGTGGTATCAGTTGTAATCTCTCCTCTTTCATTTCTGTTTATTTGGGTGTTCTCTCTTTTTTTTTCTTGATGCTTAAAGATTTCAAGCCGGCTTAAAGGCTTGTCAATTTTCTTTATCTTTTCAAAGAACCAGATCCTGGATTTATTGATCCTTAGAATTGTGCTGTTAGCCTCTATGTCATTTAATTCTGCTCTGATCTTGGTCTTTTCCTTCCTTCTACTTGCTCTGGGATGTCTTTGCTGTTGTTTCTTGAGTTCTTGCAAGTGTAGGATTAGGTTTTTTATTTGAAATATTTCTTTCTTTTTTAGGTAGGCCCATATCGCCATGACCTTCCTTCTCAGGACTGCTCTTGCTGTGCCCCATAAGTTTTGGATTGTTATGAGTTCATTTTCATTTTCATTTGTTTCCAGAAAGTTTTTGATTTCTTCCTTAATCTCGTTCTTGACCCATTCATTGTTTAATAGCATGCTATTCAATCTCCATGAGTTTGGGTGTTTTTGAGTTTTTTTCTTGAGGGTGGTTTCCAGTCAGTCCCTTGTGGTCAGAGAAAATGCTTGATGCTATTTCCATTTTCTTGAATTGGTGAGGCTTCTTTTGTGTCCTATCATGTAGTCTATCTTTGAAAATGTTCCATGTGCATTTGAAAAGAATGTGTATTTTGCTTCTTTGTGAAGAAAACCTATATACATATCAGTTAAGGCCTTTTGATCTAGGACATTGCTCAATGCTAAAACATCTTTGTTGATATTTTGTTTGGAAAATCTATCCAATTTTGACAGTGGAGTGTTAAAATCCCCTACTATAAGTGTGTTGCGGTCAATATCTTTCTTGCAGTCCTCCAAGATTTTCCTTATATATTTGATGTCCCTATATTGGGAATTTTTCTTCTTTTTTACTGTTATTCAAGTATAGTTGTCTCCATTTTCCTCTTACCATACCATTGAACTACATGTAAAAATGTCTCATTCCTGGAGTTAATTCTACTTGGTGGTGATATGTTATTTTTCTTTACTTTCATGTACTTGATTTGCTGATATATTTTTAAGAAATTTGGTATGTATGTTCGCAGAGCGTATTAGATTACCATTGTTTTCTTGGAACGTCTCTGCCAGGTGTTGTTATCAAGGTTGCTGTGGCCTCAGAAACCCATTAGAGAATTGTTCTTTGCTCCTTTGTTTTCTGAAAGTACATGTATAATGTTATAATGCATAAAGTTATTATAGTTTTTCCTTTAAGTGATTGATAGAATTCACCTGTGAAATCATCTGATATATAGTTTAGTTTCTTTTTTCTTTTAAAAATTGTTTGCTGATTAACTTAATTTCCTTAACAGAGAGTGAACTATTTAAACCTCTTATATTGGTCTTTAACCAATTTGGGCAAGCTAGGAAATAGAACCTGCAGGAAAGTTTTAAACTTTTAAACAATACATAAATCACTAGTTAACCTATCTAATTCATGTCTCAGCCAAGACTCTGTATCAAATTCATTGATCTTTAACTGAAGGCAGTTCTTCCCTATGTGACATGGTGTCTGTGGTGTTGTGGATGTGACAAACAAAATCACAAGAACTGCAGAAGTCCTATAAAGAAAAAAGACAGCATGGCCACTCTGAGTGAGAGAGTGCCCCAACCCTTGCCTGGACAGGCTTTCATTGCTTTCTGGGAGCATTACATCAAGGAAGGTCTTCATTCATTATGCTCAGGTTTGTTTGAAGTGATTACTTCTTACAGATAACAAAGAAAAGAATGTGGTAAATGCAAGAGAACAATAAAAGTGATTGATCTGGCTACATTCCATGGTTGGAACAGCTTAGCACACACTTTAGTGAGTTACTTCAAAGATATATACTAAACCTCTGATGTTTTAACTCAGGGTGAGGGAGTCTTAGCAAAAGCAAGCCTCAAAGCAGCCTAGAAATAATGCAGGCCTGGTCCCCCATGGGAAGGCTGATCTGTGGGACTGGCTCCTGTGTGCCTCCTGGCACCTGCTGGTTTTCCAAACCAGGGCTGAGCTACATTCGCCATTGCCACGTGGACCAGTTCCCTATAGCTATGGCTGTTCAGCATCTATTGGCACAACATCTTCTGAGGGTTTTCCTTGGCTCCCAATACATTTAATCAGGGATATCTGTAAAAAAGATTTTAATATCAATCTTGATTTTATGGACTTTTATTGAATAAATAATTCAGGTAGGATGTTCTACTGGTTAGAAGTCATTAAAATAGGTCATCCTAAATTATCCAAAGAATAATAGAAAGACTCTAGAAAGAAGGCCATGAGAATATAAACCCAATGTGGTATGTTACAGTGGTAAACAAGAAGAACAGTGTAACAAATTTAAATGTAGAACATGGCATTATAATTTGATCTTTTCAGATGCATTATTACTGACAGTTTTATTTACTTAATTATCCTTTTAATATTTGTAACTTGTGATTTTCCTTAAGAAGTCTAATTTTAATATTTTTAGAAATACCAAGATGTGCACCCCCACCTCAGATTCCCAAATCTCAAAATATGATGACCACAGTGAATTATCAGGAAGGAGAAACAATCTCTATTCTCTGTCAAGACAATTCTCTGATTGTGGAAGCAAGAGACCTCGTGTGCCAGGGTGGAATCTGGAAGTCAGTCCCACGCTGCATTGGTCAGTAGTGTGTCACTTGCATGACACCTGTCTCTCTTACAAGGGTTAGACTGCCTTGTGCTTTGTGGAAAGGGACAGATGAATCCCTTTCTCCATATGGGTTCCACTTCACCTTGCAACCCTACATCACAATCTCAGTACCAGAACCAATCAGCATTGTTCCCCTTGTGTTGTGAAGTGAGCACAGAGGGAAGCTTTGGGTTACTGCGGAAACCCCAGACGCAATTGTTCTCCATGCGTGTTTCACTCCTGGGGCTGAGCAGGAAGGGAATGAAGGGGCCTAGGGAATGAGGGGATGGTAGCACTGATTTTATGGAGACACATATCTTTGCAAGTTTCAAGTATTGTTTAGTTATTAAATAATTTCAGTAGTTCAAAAATTGTTATTTTAAAATCCCAAACGTGTTTAATTTTATTTTTCCTTGTAAATATGATCTCTGTGCCTGACCCTTTCACCTCTGCTCTGGATTGTAGAGAAAACACCGTGTCCTCAGCCACCTTATATAGAACATGGATCTGTAAATTCCTCCCGATCAGAAGAAGAAAGAGAAGAAACAGTGGAGCCCAAGCTCTATCCACATGGCACTAAATTACATTATGTTTGTGAAGACGGTTTCAAGATAACTGGGCATCATGAGATAACATGCCACCTGGGGAGATGGAGTTCCCCACCTCAGTGTGTAGGTGAGGACAGCGTGCAAACTAAAATCCTATTTTTGGTACAATTGATTAAAATGAGCAATCATCATCAAAGGCATGAGAGATAGTTCTTTAGATTTATAAGTATACAAACCCTTTTATGTTTTTATATACCATTTATGTATTAACATATTTTACCAAACAAGTTTTCTATAAACCAAGAAATCCTATTTTTTGTTAATGTTATGGGTTTATTCTGAAATCGCTTTAAATTTTTGTTCTTTCTGTTTATTTTTGTTGTTGACACTATTACCAAGGTCCCTATTTCTACCTCTTTGTGCCCTTCCACCCAGCCTCCACCCCCTGCCTTATCTCCGGCCATCACCACATTGTCTTCTGTGTCCATGGGCTATGCATACATGTCCTTTTGCAATGTCTTCTCCTTTGTTCACCCAGCCCCCCTCTCCCTCATGCCCTCTGACAGCTGTCAGTCTGTCCCATGCATCCACACCTCTGTTCTATTTTGTTCACCAGTTTCTTCTGTTCACTAATTCCACATGTAAGCGAGATCATACTGTATGTCTTTCTCTGACTGGCTTCTTTCACTCAGCATGGTGTTCTCCGGGTCCATCCATGCTGTCGCAAAAGGTAAGATTTCCTTCTTTTTCACAGGCCACATAGCAGCCACTGTGGAAAACAGTATGGAGGCACCTCAAAAATTAAAAATAGGACTGCCTTCACACCCAGAGACCCCACTCCTGGGACTGCACCCTAAGAGTCCTGAAACACCAGTTAGAAAGGTTATATGCACCCTCATGTTCATAGCAGCGTTGTTTCCAACCTCCAGGACCTAGAAACAGTCCAAGGGCCGATCAGTCCCTAAGTGGATAAAAGATTGTGGTACATGTAATCACTTTTAATTATGGCATTTTCCCCACCAAAACTAGATGTGTAGTGAAATTAAACCTAACTATTCATGTAGGTACAGCTATTTGTATTTTCTAAATATTTGTATACATTGTAGTGAATGCTTTGCTGCCAGGCTTTTAAAATTTCACATTTTTCCTACAATGTCCTTTCTGATCTCTTACAATAGATGACAATTTTCTTAACATTATTCTCAATGTGTTTCTTTTTATTACTCGTGACTGGTTAGGGAAGCATTGACAGTCCCATTCCTAAATATATGGGGATTTTTCTTTTCAAGTTTTTGGTCAAGTTGATGGCTGGATGCACCCTACAATGGTGGATTTAGGAAACATTTATGCACCTTTTCTGTGATGTATTATTATTAGCACCTGTGTGATCAAATAAAAGTACCAACTGTGGCAACCAGTACATGAAATTAATTCCAGAGTTAGTGAAATGTTCAGTCATTGTTAACTTTTTTCCTTCAGGACTTCCTTGTGGACCACCACCTTCAATTTCCAATGGGGCTGCACTGAACAGGAAAAGGAGATATGAGTATGGAGAAGAATTTATGTACCACTGTGCCCGAGGATTTTCACTTCATGGGCCTGCATCTGTGATATGTTCAGGAGGAAAATGGAGCCCTCCCCCAGAATGCATAAGTATGGTGTATTTAATTTTATTCTCAGGCTGATCAATATCTGTAACTAGAGCATGAACGATATAAATTTAAATCCGCAGTCATTTTAGAATATAACAAGGTATCTCCAAAAAGTTCTGGATTCTGGTGGACAATTAATAGCCCTAATCACATGACCAGATTAGCAACAGGAGCCTGATTGGTTTACTTTGGGGTCCCCCTGCCCCTCTGACCCTTGCTCTATGTGCATGCTCAGACATGTCGCCTCTGTGTGGTGCAGCTGGCCCCTGCTCACCAGTCTCATCGTGACTCAGCTCTTGTCACTTTACCAGTTACCTACTTAGAGACATTTGTGTCATTTTCCAATGTTTCATGTAGTTCTAGGAAGTGGACTTGGACAGAAAGGCTAGAAATATATATATATAACACAGATGGCCTCTGTGGACAAAAAAGAATCTGAATGTAAGAAGTGTGGTCCTGATCTCATCAGGCTTTCTGAACCATCAGTACCACATTACAGTTCTGATAAATGTAAAATCATTCAATGTGATCAAGTCAAGACCACTAATGTATTTTCAAGTTATAAGAAAAATGTTATACAGTATACATTGGTTTGGTATGTACCTATTATTCTAGAGTAAAGTTATTGGCCAATATCTATTTTTAAAGATTTACTGAACAAGTATTTTGTTTTTTTCCTTTCAGAAACAACTTGTCCTTCCCCACCCAGCTTTGATAATGCTGAACCTATAAATGTAAACAAGAACAGGAAAGTGTATCAGTCAGGAGATGAAGTAGCTTACAGATGTCGACAGCCCTACCAAATAGATGGATCCAATGTTGTTCGCTGTATGACTGGCAGATGGATAGGGACGCCCACATGCAGAGGTGTTTTGATAAACATTGATTTTAATTTCCTGAAGTGTCTTAAATAGTACAATATAGCATTGCTTCTTGCATGATGAAGAGATGAACACAGGCTCTGTCTTAGGCCAGATTGGGGGAGGTGGGGGTTGGTGCCTTCACACAGAGGAATGGAAGGGGTGGTGAGGGTTGACCTGAGAGCCTGTTGTTTTTACTGGGTGGTCCCTGAAACAGCAGCATCAGCACCTTCTAGGAAACTGGAGGAAATGCAAATGCCAATTCACAGGCTCACTCAGAGCAGCATCCAAAACTCCAGGTGGTGACCTGAAACTCTTTCATGGGAATTCCCAGCAGCTTCCACTTCAGTCTACTACTACTTTACCTCCAGCTGAAGCTCCTTGCTCATCTTAGCATCCATAAGAATCTGCCCCCCTCAGATGACTAGAGTACTTTCATTAAATTGTAAATTCATTTTTCTCATATTTTCCTCAGCCTCTGTTTGGATCTTTTGTGAGATCACCCTCTTCCTTTAACTATGTGGTATTCTGCAAAACATTTAATTATTGATTTACTCCTTAAGGAAATGACTACTATACTTATTAGCCCAAGAGTCTAAAATCACAATGAATAGATGTGATGATTTCAACACATTTGAAGCCAAATAATCTGTTATTCTGACTTTTTATGGTTTATCAATTCATCTTCAATTTGTACAACTTTTATTTTTTTTACTAAACTCAGAGGGAAATATCTGAAAAGCCACCATTTACATTGGCTATAAATATCTATTGAACTTTGAGGGGATGGGAAAGAAATTTAAGAGGCAGAAGCTTAACTTAATCTGTCTTCATGACAGATTAATATGGATTTAAGTCCTCCAGAAATAGAAGGGAATCCCATTGGTTGATGTGAGTTATAAACATTCATTGCATTAGGCACACATTTTTCCTTCTCATTCAGATAACTCCTGTGGGAATCCTCCCATAGTCAAATATGCCACTATACAAAACAGGATGACTCGGTATCAGTCTGGTGACAGAGTACGTTACGAATGCATGAAATCGTTGGACCTATTTGGGGATGTAGAGGTGACCTGTCTGAATGGGAAATGGACAGACCCACCTCAGTGCAAAGGTAGAGTATCTTGTTCTCCCCTCACCCCCATTGTAGAGGATATATTAGGGACAAACTGTATTGGTATGAATACATAATGAAGTGATTCCTATGGATGAAATAACTTCATGCAAATAAAATAGTAATGCTTAAAGTCCCATTCTGTTTATGGACTGAGTAAGTAGTATGGTGTATTTATTCTAGGACATATTTGGCCGCATTAGAAGAAGAGATGTTCTGTGTCATGGATTCCAGAATGAGGTTGAGAGTGGGACCTCTTCAGTGGGGCCTTTCAGCCCAGCTGACCCTCCGGCTTCTCAACCACTGTCCATGGAGGGAGGTCAAGGCTGTCCCTATGTCCTCTCTGCTTACCCATCTGTATGCTGGCTTCCGTACACCCTAGGTTTAAGGCTCTTGGTCAGGCGTCCTTCATTTGGTTATTCACCTTGCTTACTCTCTTATTTAGCTGTAAATCCAGTGTGGCGCCTTGAAGAGGTGAGGATAGCCCCCACCTACTCCAGAGCCAACTTAAACCAGAGACTGTCCTTTTGTAGAGTCCAGAGGAACATGTGGGCCCCCTCCAACCATCGACAATGGGGACATCACCACATTCCCATCAGCCGTCTATGCTCCAGGAGCCTTGGTGGAGTACAAATGCCAGGCCTACTATAAACTTCAGGGAAACAGGTTAATAACATGTCGTGACGGAGAGTGGTCAGAACCACCCAAATGTTTAGGTAAGTGTGTTGTCGTTCCCATGGGTCCTGGGAAATGTGTCTAAGGAGTGTGATATTCTCCTCTTTATAACAGAACTTTCATGGGTTACCATTATTCTGATGAATCTTGACTCCCTCATAGTGATGTGTGAGCAAACAACATATGACAAATTCTTCAGCAGGGGGAGGGGGAGCAACAAAGATTCTCTTATGAAAACTCTACACGTGATAACTGGTATTATGAACTTTGATTTAACCTTTAGTTATCCCACAGAGCACCTCATGTTTACATCATGAATTGTTTGAAATGACTTACATCTACAGGATGGCTTTTCAATGAGTTATATTGAAAAAGGTTTTGAGAATGAGTTCCTGGATCAGTGTAGAAGATTCTACATGACAGTGTAAACTTCTCTACTGAGAATTTGTATACCACTTAATGTTTTACATTTCTTGTTTTTACCTTTAGAGTCATGTGTAATATTAGAAGAAATGATGGAAAAGCATAACATACAGTTGAAATGGACACAGGGCAGGAAAATTTATTCAGAATCAGATGATAGTATTGAGTTCACCTGCCGACGTGGGTATCGTGCAAAGTCACCACCTTCCGCATTCCGGGTAACGTGTCGGGCAGGAAAACTGACGTATCCCACTTGTGAATGAAATGATGGTTATATTGCAGTCTGAAAATTGAAATACATGTATTCATTTAGAGCATTTTATATTAATCCAATTCTGTATTTTTTCAAGTATATTTTATCTCGTTTTTCTTCATACTCAGAATTTATGTTGATATCATTATAATGTGAAAGACCAATGAGTTGCTCTGAAAGGAATCTCATTAAAATGTGGCAAACCACCATGCTGTGTGTTCTGTTCATCAAACATCTGTGGCCAGAAATCAGAAGCAATCCCTTCATGGACTGCTTGCACCCAACCACTCCCCTCACTTTCCCAACACTTTGTCTGGAACTTCTGAGGCTGTTTGAAACTCTTGTTGCAGAGGAAATGGGAAAAAATGCTTGTCTCCATCTTCAAAATGTAATCACTTCACAAACACGTAAAAACCAACCTATGTCACACCTGTGTTGGTGAGAAGACGTCAGCGGTATTACCTTTCCAAGGAAACACTCAGCAGAGATGGTGACAGGTGTGATCACCTGCAGCCTCCCCCCCCAGGGCATGCAAGCGCTCAGACATGTCACACGAAGCAGATGGGGTCCAATTCAGGGTATGACTGCGGGCAGTGGCACACGCCCTGATGAAAACACAGCATCAGTATAAACACACTCGCACAATCTCAGGACATGCTGTGAACCATGACTACGTGTTTACAGAGCAGAGACCGGCAGGCCGTGCAGTGACACACTTACCACAATTCTATTGGATGTAGAGATAATGGGGGTAGGAGTTGGGGTTCAGTCCCATATTCCCCCAGTCTTCTGTATTGAACATGTATCATCTTCGAACAATGAAATGTGTTCATTTAAAGTAAATACACACAAAAAGTAAGACGACACATGTTGAGAACCAGACACAGCTCTGCATGAAGAGGAGGGCTTAAATATCATCTTCATGATTTTGCTGCTTTATAGAGATTTGGACACTTTCAAACACCAGAGCCTGAAATATAATTCTTATGTTTGTACATTTCAAACACATCACTAACTAAATTCACTTGAATATAAACATGATTCATTTCTACAAAAACATTAATACTGTAAGATGACAGTGAGGATGTAGGTCTCACATTTCACAACAGCATGGATGGACCTGGAGAGTACTGTGTGAACTGAAATAAGCCGTTCTGAGGAAGACAAGCTGCATGAGATTTCAGATATGTGTGGAATCTAATGAACAAAGTAAACAAACAATCAAAACGGAGACAGACTCACAGATACAGAAGCAGACTGACAGCTGTCAGAGGGGAGAATTGGGGGGACTGAGTGAGAACGGTGAAGGCATTAATTAAAAAGTAAAATGAAATAAAAACCCATAGACACAGACAACAGTAAGGTGATGACTGGAGGGAAGGGGGTGGGGGAGGTAGAAGAGGGTAAATGGGGGATAAATTGTGATGGGAGGAGACCTGATTGGGGCAATGAACACAATTTATATGTGACGTATTATAGAATGTACCCCTGAAGGCTACATAATTTTGTTAAGGAATGTCACCCCAGTAAATTCAATAAAATTTTTAAAATGAAAATAAAGCTATAAGTAATTAAGCTACAAATATCTGAAGTGGTACCTTGTTGCTCTGTGTTAAAACCAAACCTGGGACATTGCTCCAATGAAGAGACTGGCTTCACCAAGTAGCCAGGTTATGGAACCTGAGTCTCTGACTTGGCAAGTAAGTTAAACCTTCACCTAAATGATGTGGCTACTTATCATGATTGTCCTTCATCTCCACTTTCTGAAGCAAAAACTTATGTTCATGTCCTTCCATGTCAGTTTTCAGGATTTCTTTTTTTTCTTTAAAACTGCTGCATGTATCAGCAAGAATTTAGTGTTTAATGATCCATTTGTCACATTTGGTAACATTCATTTTTCCAATGGTGGCCTGGATGATACCAGTCTTGGCAAGGGGGTGTCTCCTGAGCCATATTCTTGGAACTTCAGCTGAATCCCCACTTACTCATTCAGCCTTTCTCTTCTTTATATCACAGTGTGTTGTTCCAGGCTCAACATGTACTTCTGCCACTTGCTCACGTGCGCACACATGCTTGCAGGAACCTCAGATTTTTTTTAATCAGGAAATAGCATTTAGAACCCAAGTACTGTGTTCCACATGGGCATGTCCAAGACTGTGGAAGTATTTTCACTTCAAATTTCTTTAGATTGTCAGATCTTTGAAATCGAAATGAAATTAAAATGCATTGCATGGAATGACAGTACACCCACAACAAGAGTAAATACATTTTTACAGGCATGATACACTTTTCTACAAAGATTTCATATGGGTCTCAAACAGCACAATACAGTGTTGTCACAAGACCATGAAGAAAATACTGTCACAAGAGTGGACTACAACCAAGTCCCAGTGCCCAGCACAGTGCCTGGCATCCAGAAGGTGCTCAGTAAATCTTTGCTGGTCATTGCCATGGACAACACCTAAGTGTGTAAAATATTAAACATTCAGTTTACAATGATTTCATGGAAGGTCATAAGGCCTTGTACTTCCACAGGACACTTGGCTGGCCTTGGGGGTGGAATGCAGTCTGTGCTTTCAACAAAATAAAATAAAAATAATATTCCAAAGATACATAAATCAGTGACTGAATGGAAAGATAAATAAAGCATTAGTTCTGTTTAGATTTTACAGCTCAGCTAATACAGGGTCTAGAAACTCTTCAATACATTTTCTCTCTGTCTCATTACTTCTGTATTCTTACATCTCAGTTTCAGAAAAAGTTCTCAATAGTGCAATGCAAACATTACTGTTAGCACAGTAACTACTGAGTGACAGCTAAAATGCTTTTGTATTTGTTCTGTCCCAGGATGTTGAACACCCTCTGGTATTCCAAAGAACTGGACAGAGATTCTAATCTCTGCTTGGCTTGCTTACCAAATTAGTAGTAACATTTTACATTTATTTGCATTGGTGATTTCTTCAGTTTTAGATTTTTCTGCTTTATCCTATATTAACATAATCTTTTTTCAATTTATTCCCTTGTTTATATCTTCCTTGCACATGCCCTTATAAATCTAACCAATGCACGAATTTTAATTCTAATTATCTGCTTTCCTTTTTCATATATAAATTTATTAATTATAAAAAAGCACAATTATAATTATATATTATAATTATAAATAATTATATATATTAGTTGTAATTACATATATATAATTAAGACAGTACACTGTCTCCAATAACTGGGGCGGGGGGGGACCATGAATGTAAGGAAATACAACAATGAAGCCGTAAGACACCGCAGTCTCTCTGCATGAGCTGCTGTGAGAAGAGAACCCAGGGCCCACTTCCTGCTGAGAGAGGAGATGAGACAAAAGGGGGACAAAGGAGCTGAGAGGTGGAAACAGCCCCTTCATCCCTGGAGCCGGCCCCGCTCTGCTCACCCAGCCCTGGACCACAGGGACTCCGGAAAACACCGCAGGTGCGTCTGAACAGTTCGCTTCCTCCAGAGTCCACATCCAAGTTCATACATCACATGACACACAAGACATAACCTCCTTCACCTGAGCAAGACCTCTGCACCAGCTCTGCCCTCCGAACTCTGTAACCCTTCTCATCCCAGGAGCCCTAAACCAGGGGGAGAGTGATGCTGAGCAGCTGATAGTTCATCAGTGAAACAATTCTTCTGTGTTTTGATTGGTCATGGAAATCATTGCTTTATCTGCTCCTTGTTTTTAGTTGCCAGTGACACCTTGAAATATTCCGGAAAGAAAGGACGGATGTCCATACAGGAAAAGCAGGAATGAATCGTACTTTCTAGCACCTGCAGGAAAATGGTGCTACAGCCGTGAGGACAACTGTGTGACTTTTTCACAAGGTGGCTGGATGGCATCACTTGCACGTGAGAAGGTAGGTCCCCAGAAGTACCAGGCCACAGTAAGTGACCTGTGTAAGCTCCCTGTGTGTGAACCTCTCAAAGACCAGAGATGTAGGCACACAGATGTCAGGGCAATGAAACATGGGTGACAACAATGGTGTCAAGGGGAGCGTTCTGGGAGGGAAAATGTTCAAGAGATCTTTCCTTTCATGAGAAGCTCTTCATGGAAACCACAGGAGATGTGAAAGAGTGCTTTTGAGAAAAAGAATATTAATTATGCATTACTGAGTAACAAAAACTGAAGAGAAGTAACATTGAGTACTAACATTTTAACAAACATTTGCTAGGCTTTGGTTACTGGTGCTCACCGACCCGAAGGACTGAGGCTGGGTGAGGACACATGCAGGACAAGGGATACTTACTTACAGGGACATTGACTCGGAGTTATTCCCAGGCCACCTCTTGATGGAGAAAACCTCATCCATTTCTAGAGTTGTTTAATTTAAA